ATGCCATCCAACACTGTCAGTTGCTAACTAAAACTGTCCCACAAGCATGCAGAATGTGGGATTGTGCTAATGTGTTTCACAGTTTGCCCGAGTAGCAGCTGCCAGGGTAAGACTGGCAGCACACTCTTTCCTCACTGGACACAAGGCAGGGTCAGCATGGACCAGGGTAGGAGAGTGTGACTGCCCTGCCCGCCCACCTGGTCCAACTTCTGCCCAGAGCCCAGTCTGGTGAAAGGACAGAGTCTGCTTGTGTGACTAAATCTGTCCCACATTTTCTGAGATCAGCCAGCATATCACATTATTGTGAGTGATCACCACTATTGGCAAGCTGAGGATTTTGTTCTTTGAACATTTGTTTGCGTTTTTGGCCACAGAAACTGAATTTTCTAGAAATCCATGTCTTGGAGTGATTTCATAAAGAAGAATCTATAAGAAGAAGCCATTGCCATCTGATAGCTTTTATTGTCGGGTTAGTTTTTTGACAGTGGGGTATCATTAAAACAATTTTGATTACGCCTTGAAAATGTAATAAGTGTTAAATTTATACACATAAATATGTTCTCTTTTTAAAAATTTAGCAGGCACTCTGAAATTTTGTTCAAAGACATGTTGCTTGAAATATCTCAAAGAAAAATATTCCTTCAAGTCTTCAGCAAACAATTCAGATGCTTTTATATCAAGTGAGCTTTGCCATCAGGGAGCTGTTACTTCATAGTGAGCCATTGTCGAGTGGAAATTCTAATCATCTTGCCCCCCCCATTCCATGAGAGTTCATACTAGTCAGACACAGGTGACCTTCCCACGTTAGTTTATTTTGGATCGCAGGTTGATTCCCCACAGAGTTGGATATTTAACAAGGAATTACTGCTGAATTAAATGAGTTCACAAAAGTTACTAAGTGTACAGTGTCTTCTGCACACCCAAATATAAAAAAGTCCAGTGTGCCTATAAATGTGCGATTCACGCTAGCATGATTTAGCGATGGTTTTCAAAATGGCTCCATTAATCCTAACACAGCCACCCCCAGCTCAGCCCAGAGCCAACAAAATCTTCAGCTTACTTAAGCTTGAAACTTAAGAAAATAATCTTACACTCTACAGGGACCCTGAATGCAGCTATAGGTAACCCTCTGAGACCTTCATGGGGCTGGTAGGCACCTCAGTAAAAGAGTTTTATGAGCATTTAATGTATTTAATTTTGAAGGGATTAGATGAAATGTTAGCATAACGGAGTGCAAACCACATTCTACAATCAACAACCCACGACCATTCTTTCACCCAAGCAAATGACCATATATTTTGAGAATGACTTTTTTAGTCAGCTTGCTTTGCAGTTTGAAGTTTTCTGGAGAGAAGATGAATAACTTGAGGTTTTTCAGCTAACTAGCTACTTGAGAAAGGAACAGTAATAAGTCAAACCCCCGGTGAACAGTGTGAACTTGTTAAAGGCGAATCCATACCTTGGATTCTCATTCTTATCTGAGGTTATTATTCCTGGTTTGTTATACGTATTTATGCTCATTGCCATGCAGCACAAGGGCTAGGTTCTAAATGAGCACTGTAGAAAAAAACTTCCACGGCATAATTTGAGTTTTTAAACAGCCTTTCTTATTTTGGAGCACAGTAAGAGAAGCACTAACTCTTTCTGGAAAACCTTTAGGCTAAAGTTTTGGGGAAATAAATCAGCAGAACCCAGAGAGGTATCTCACACACGTGCACGCGCACACACACAATTCTTGATGAAATGCATTTTTGCTGATTTCTCATGTGTCTGCTATTTTATGTACCATTGGAGAATGGACACAGTATTTCCAAAGATGATTTTCCAGCCAGAAAATTAATTGTGAATCATGAAAAGGAGGGAAAAAAATCACCGCCCCAAACAAAGAAAATTACCTGCTGATTTCACACAAATCAGAGCTGGCGTGTGAAGCAGAGGATGCTGGCTCCACCTGACGCATCCATTTAAGCTGGCATCTGACAACGGCCAGGGAGCTGCCAGCTCAACTGCGTGCCAACACGATCACTACTCGGGCTGGCAGCCCCGAAATAAAACAAAGACCAGATTACTGGCCCTGAAAACGTCAAAAGGGAGGAAGGCATCTTATGAGGCATTTAAGCCATCATCCTCCATTTCTTAATGAGATTACCCCTAAAAGGCCCCCTGAGAAACCAGCGCCCTCCTCCCCATGCTTCTGCTCCCCTGCTTAGAAAGGCTGCGTCCATCTATTCCTGGTGTCTCCGTGCACCGCCGATGAAGCCGGCTCTCGCCTGTGGGCTTGGCTAGCCAGTCTTTGGGGTTTCCCGGGACACTGACCCAGAGCAAGATGCTGCGGGACACCACACCTTCCCCGGGGCCAGTGGCACAGTTGCAGCTGTGTTTCACATCCAGCAGCCAAGTTCACTTTCAACTTATTGACATAGCATTTTGCCTTCATGAGGGTGCTTGTCTACACAGCAAGCTCATGAATCCAACTAAGAGCTCTTTACCTCGCTTCCTTTCCGGGAGGAAATGGGATTAAAAGCCATCCAGAGCTTTGCCAGTGAGTTCTCTTCCTGCATAACATCTATCATCACCTTTCTACCCAGGAGAACTTCCAAAAGCCTCTAACTTGAAAGCTGTGAGTGCCATCGATTTTCACAGTGTCTCGGTGGCAAGGATGTGAGGCAAACAGTACCCTATCCTGGTCACCTTCACCACCTCCTGTTCCAAACGTGAACCCGCAGAGCTACTGGCAGTCACCGCACCATGATAGGTGGACCCCTTGCCACACCTGGCTTATTGTTTCCCAGTCCTGGCAGTTGAGCAAATTAGCTTCAGGCCACATATTCATTTGTGGTGCCTGTCATCCTATGCAGTGAGAGTACAAGGAAAGTATAAGCAGCAGAGAGTCCAACCTGCATAGCACCCCAAAGTCTCCGACCTGGAATAAGAATGCCCCCAATATGTCCCACAGCACACGGCAGAAATCTGCAAGTAGGATCACAGCCTCTATCTAGAAATCGCAAGAGAGTTCAGGTCATTTTCTGCACAAAAAGCCATAGCCTATAAAATCTGCTTGAAAAGACCCCGCCCCCCAAAACGATATAACATAGATTCTTAAACTGCAGAAACAAAGACTATTTCTGCTGTGAAATATTGAATTTCTAAGTCTAATGTTAATCCTAAATTGCTCAGAAACATTGTTTGTCTTTAATTATTATAATATTCCCATTCGATTAAAAAAATTAGGTGTTGTAATTCAGACTTTTAATTAAGCGAATTAGCTTTTGACATTTTCTTGGAAAAAGATGCTCCCAGTGTGGGTACCCCCAGCCTTTACTTGCTATTAAATGTTCCTTAGCACTTTTAAAATACTTTGGTAAGAAATATGCAATTTATAGCACCATGCTAACTTTTCTTTTCCAAACCCTGAAGCGGCAGCTGCTAACCTCAGGCGTTATACAGTTTATCAAAAGGTGGAAATTTGCACTGAATATCAATGCCTGTTTTTATAAAGACGCAAACATCACAACATACCCATAGCAAAATTGTTTTTCCATTCTCCAAACAAACCCTCCTGTTCCTCCTACAACTGCTCCTTTTTTGCTGAAGCAAAACAAGTCCTCACAACACATAGGCCAGTCTCCTCTTGCTTTCCTGTCTCAACTATAAATTTTCTGTTGCCACATTCCTGTTGCTTTTGCTGCCTGAAGTTGTCAAAGTAAAGAGTTAACTTTCGCGCCGAAAGAATTGCCGGGAAGGAACCTGCCCAGCAGTAACACAGGAGATAAGACTCTCACCACACTTTTCCTGATAACCATGAAAGAACCAGTAAAGTCCATGTTTACTCCGGATTCTTGGGTTTGTTTTCTTTTCTAAATATTTTTATTAGCACATGTTTGCAGTACATAATGATTCCATTTGTCCTGGGGAATTGGCACATGTACACAACACTTGCTAATTCTTCTTACATCACTTATTCTTCCCCTTCTCTTCCTCCCTCCATTTCTTCATTTCTCCCCCACCCTCTGCTTTGTAAATGACCTCTCTCTCTCTCTGTTTCCTTAATCTGTCTTTCATTTTGTGTTTTAATGTATTTATACTGTACTTTCGGTTTCTCATAAAAGAGAAACCATACAATATGAGGTTGTATGTCTGATCTATTTCATATCATGGTCTTAAGAACAAACACAAAACACAAATCTTTAAGCAATCTTACCAAAAAAGAGGAAAGCAAAGATACAAATCAATGAAATTAGCAATTTAAAAGATGAAATCACAACCAACATCCTTGAAACCCAGAACACTTTAGTAACTACTTCAAAAATCTATATTCCAAGACATAGGAGAATTCAGATGAAGTAGAGATTCCTAGATACATATGAATTACCAAAATTGAAACAAGAAAGTATAAAAACCTCGAATAATCCAATAACAAACAATGAAATGGAAGCAATAATTTTTTTAAAAAGAAAAAAATTACGAATCAACAAAAGCCTACATCCCATTGGGATCACTGCTGAATAGTGTAAGAACTTAGAGAAGATCTAACACCAATACTTCTCAAGCTATTGAAGAAATTGAAAGGGAAGAAGCACTCTCAAAGTGATCCCTGGAAGTTACCATTACCCTGATTCAAAAAGCAAATAAAGATCCCACCAAAAAGAACTACAAGCCAATCTCCTTAATGAATACACACACAAAACTCTTCAACAAGGCATCAGCAAACAGAATGTGACAAATCATCAAAAAGATCACACAAGATGACAAAACAGGCTTCATCTCAGGAATAAAAGGATGGTTCAACATATGCAAATCAATAAATGTAATACATCATATAAACAGAAAAAAGGGCAAAAATCACATGATCACTTCAATAGACCTAGAAAAAGTGTTCAACAAAATTCAACATCCATTCATGATAAAAACTCTGAAAACCCAAAAAAATCCACCAGAAGACTCCTACAACTAATAGCCAAATTCAACAATGTAGCAAGGCACAAAGTCAACACACACATTTGCTTCTGTAGCACATATACTAAGCTTGGGACTATACAGAGGAGATTAGCATGACCTCTGTGCAAGAGTGGCACACAAATTTATGTGGCATTCCACATTTTTCATATAATATTCAAAATCCCAGAAATTCAGTAAAAGAACAGAATCTTAAATGCTGTTAGAGAAAACAAACAAGTCCCCTAAAAAGGAAAGCCCATCAGAAGCACAGCAGATTTCTTAAACACGCAAGTCAAGGAGAGCTTGGAGTGAAGTATTTCAAGTTTTAAAAGAAAGCAACCTCCAACCAAGATTTATATACCCTGTAAAACTATCTTTCAGGATCAATGGAGAAATAAGACTCTTCCATGACAAAGAACACCTAAAGAAATTCATGATCACCAAACCAGCACTACCAAATATCCTGAAGGATATTTTAAAAGAGATAATGAAGACCCCAATTCCAAGGACACCAATAGAAAGAAGCCACCAGGCAAGGCAAACAAGTAAACAGAGAGAAAAGCCAAGGAGGCAATAACAGGAAAATAAGATGACAAGGTTAAGTCAACACATATCAGTTATAACCATCAATGTAAATGGTCTCAGTTCACCAATCAAAAGAAAGAGACTGGCAGAATGGATAATGAAACAAGATCCAACAACTTGCTGCATAGAGGATACAGATTTAATGCAAAAAGAAATTCACAGACTGAAAGTCAAAGGATGAAAAGCAATAGTTCATGTGACAGGACTCTGGAAAAAAGCAGGGTAGCTATTCTATTGACAGACACAGTGAACTCAAGCCATGATTGAGCAAGAAATCCAAAGAAGGTCACTACCTACTTGTAAGGGAAAACTCCAAGAGGAAGAAATAGTGATTATAAACATATAATCCCAAATGCCAGCACATCCAACTGTATAAAACAAATACCAGTGGACAAGAAAAATCAAATAAGCACTAACGCAATTGTGATGGGGGACCTCAATACCCCACTGTGACAAATATACAGATCACCTAGACAGAAAAATCAACAAAGATATATCAGAATTGAACCAAACCTGTGAAAAAATGGGCATAGTAGATGGCTACAGAATGTTCCACCCCACAACAGAATATACATTCTTCTCAGCTGTACATAGGACATTCTCCAAAATAGACCACATAGTAGCTCATAGAGCAAGCTTAAGTAAATGCAAAATAATTGAAATTATCCCATGTATATTTTTTTCAATTCATAAGCAGATTGTAGAAAATTGCCTTATTTTCAGAAACATGTTTTTTTTTCATTTTTTCATTAAAGGCTTAGGTTTTAATAGGAAAAAATAAATTAAAAGGGTGAAATCACAGTAGACCATGCAGAAAACCAGATTATCAATACCTACTTGAAGAATTTTTATTCTAATAAGGTGGAGAACATAGAACAAATGCATAAATTCCTAGACACATATCAATAACCAAAGCTGAATCAAGATATCAAAGTTTTAAATGACCAAATATCAGCCAGGGATTTAGCTCAGTGGTTCTGCCACCTTCCTAGCAAGCACAAGGACCTGAGTTCGATCCCCAGTACCAAAAATATATAAATAAATAACCAAATATCAGTCAATGAAATTAAATGAGAAGCAATATTCCTAAAGTCATTCCTGGAAGCAAATATTACTAGATATCAAAACCAGAGAAAGATCCACCCCAAAAAAGAGAATTACAAGCCAAACTCCCTAATGAACACAGATGCAAAAATTCTCAGTAAGATAATGGCAAACAGAATGCAGCAAATCATCAGGATGGTTATACACCATAACAAGTAGGATTCATCCTAGGGATTCAGGGATGGTTCAGCACACACAAATTAATAAATGTAATTCATCATATCAACAGAGCTAAGGACAACAATCATATGATTATCTCAATAGATGCAGCAAACACATTTGACAAAGTCCAACACCCATTCAGGATAAAAACCATACAAAAACATGGAATAAATTGTCCTTGTCTCAATCTGATAAAAGCCATCTAGGAGAAGCCAACAGCCAACATTATACTAAATAGTCAACAACTGTAAGCTCTCACTCTAAAATCAGAAACAAGACAAGCATGTCCATGGTCACCACACCTGTTCAATATAGTTCTGGAAACATTAGCTGGAACAACTAGACAGGAGGAAGAAATAAAAATAATAGAAATAGAAAATTAAGAAGTTACATTATCATTATCATTATTTACAGGTGACATGATACTCTACATAGAAGACCCCAAAGACTCCACCAAAAACTTCTAGATTTAATAACCAAATGCAGTCCCATAGATGGATACAAAGTCAGCACTCAAAAATCAATAGCATTCCTATACACAGATAACAAACTCACCGAGAGAGAAATTAGAAAAAAAACCTGACTTTCACAATAGCATTTAAAAAAATAAATACTTAGAAATCAACCTAACAAGGGAAATAGAGGATCTTTACATGGAAAACTACAATACTCTGGCAAAGGAGATTGAAGAGGATTTTAGAAAATGGAAAGGCATCCCTTGCTCATGGGTAGGGAAGATGGCCATACTCCTAAAATTGTTCTACAGATTTAAGGCATTCTCAATCAAAATACCCATAGCATATCTCACAGAACTAGAGAAAACATACCTAAAATTCATTTGGAACCAGAAGAGACGTAGAATGGTAAACACAATTCTGGGCAACAAAGGCAAGGCAGAGGACACCACAATCCCTGACTTGAAATTACACTACAGAGCTACTGTGATTAAAAAATAATAATAATAATAACAGCATGATACTGGCCATAAAACAGACCCAAGAATCAGTGGAACAGATTAGAAGATGCAGAAATAATTCCAAACATACTCAGCCACCTTATCTTTGAGAAAGGAGCCAAACACCTTCACTGGAAGAAAGATAACCTCTTTAATAAGTGGTGCTCGAAAAAACTGGCTGTAACATGACAAAGACTAAAACTAGACCCATACCTCTCACCATGCACTGAACTAAAATTGAAATGGATCAAAGATCTAAATATTAAAATAGAAACACTAAACCTGCTGGAAGAGAGAAGAAGTAGAACTCTTGAGGACATAGCTGCAGGCAAAGACTTTATGAGCAAAACACTGATCATAAAGGAAATATTACAAAGAATCAACTACTGGGATCTCATCATTTGCACAGCAAAAGAAATCACCAACAGAGAGAAGAGACAACCAACCGAGATGGAAAAATTTTTTGCCAGCTGTTCCTCAGACAAAAGACTAATATCTGGAATATATAAAGAACTGAAAAATTCAAACCCTTCAAACTTAAAGACCTGATCCAAACATAGGCACCTGAGAAGAATACATACTTCCTGGATGAGAGATGCAAGTTAAAATAAAACTGAGATTCCACCTCACCCCAGAAAGATTGGCTGCTATCAAGAAATCAACCAATAACCAATGCTGGTGAGGCTGTGGGGAAAAAAAGAGCCCTTCTCCACTGTTGGTGGGAGTGCAGACTTGGGCAGCTACTGTGGGGTTCAGTGTAGAGATATGTCAAAAAACTAGAATTAGAGGTCTCTTTTGATCCAGCTATTTCCCTTCTCAATACCTTTCCAAAGTAATTAAAAGCATCCTACCACAGAGATATATGCACACCCATGTTCATAGCAGCAGTTCATAATAGCTGAATCTTAGAAACAGCCCAAATGCCCATCACCCAGTGAATGGATAAAGAAGATGTGGAGGGGGAGGTATACAGTGGAGTACTTCTCAGCATACAGTAGGATAAATGAGGTATTTATAGCTAAATGGATGCAACTTGAGGCCATACTCTTAAGTGAAATAAATTAGACACACGTGTAAATATCACATTGTTTTAATGGTGTAAGAAACTGAAAGTGTCAGTAAGGACCAAAACATGTGGTTAAATAATTCAAAATAGGAAGAAACTGTTCAAATGGGACGGGAAAGTAGGAAAGGGGAGGGAGAAACCAAGGAAGGGAAAAGGGAAAAAATATGAAAAGGAAGATAAAATGGAAACAAAGCTTTTGTAAATAAGGAGGGGAAGGAGGGTTGGAGTGGAGGAGAAGGGGAAAAATAAGAATCAAGTTGTATCATGTACAGCTGCAAATTCCATATGGTGAACGTGATAATTATGTGTATCAAAATTGTACCAATAAACGTAATTCAAAAATGAACACGCAAAAGTCAATAGTGTTCCTGTACACCAATAATGAACTCACTGAGAAAAATATTTGTAAAACAATACCGTTCACAGTAGCACCAAGAAAAATTAAGTACTTAGGAATTAGCCTAACCAAGGAAGCAAAAGACTTCTACCATGAAGATGGTGGTCCTCTAAAAGGGGAAACTGAAGTGGAGATCAGAAGGTGGAAAGCTAGCCCTGTTCCTGGACAGGCAGAGCCAATATAGTGAAAATGGCCATGCTCCCAAAACAGATATACAGATTAGTGCAACCCCAGTCACAATACCAACAGCATGCCTCACTGAATTGGAGAAAACAATCCTAAAATTCCTGTGGAACCAGAAAATTCCTAGAGTACCAGAGGTTATCCCGGATAACCTGAGCAAGGCAGGAGGCATCGTAATCCCAAACCTAACATTATATTACAAAGCCACAGTGGTTTAAAATAAATAAATAAATAAGGCAGCATGGTCCTGTTACAAAAGCAGACAGGTGAGGCAGTGGCACAGAGGAGAGGATGCAGAAACAGCCCCAGGCACATTCAGCTATCTGATCTTTAACAAAGGAGCCAAAACCATACCTAGGAGGAAAATTGGCCTCTTTTATAAGTGGTACTTGGAATACCAACTACCGGCATGCAGAAAATTGAATCCACTCTTGTATCTCTAATCACATACTAAACTAAAATCAAAGTGGATCAAAGGGAGACACCTCAACAAACTAGGATTAGAATCCCATTTTACCAAGCTATTCCCCTGCTAGGTATCTCCCCAAAAGAATTAAAAGAATCATACCACAGTGATATATGCGCACCCATCTTTATAGTGGCACAGTTTGTAATAGCTACAACTCGGAAACAGCCCAATTACCCATCAGTCGGGAGACTGGATACAGAAGATGTGGTTTTTGAAAATAAAATGGAGCACTACACAGCCATAA